CTGAACTTTCAGTCAGGAAGATCTGATTTGCAAAAGCCAATATCCAACAAAGCAAGAGGAAAACGTTAAGATATAAAGTATATTTTACATGCACAAAACCTAGAAAATCAGACTCTTCTTTCTGGCAGCCGTTATATGTGTGGGACAACTACCAGGTCAGCATCCTGAAATTAATACTAGATATTCAAAAAACACCAAATTTCTTGCAAAAAAGTGGCAAGATGGAGTTTGATGACCAACAAATGCACATCAGTCCGGCAGGAGAATTGCTGTAGCCATGCCAGAAACACTCCAGTACATAACGCACATTCTCAGAGCAGCTTGCAAAAGAGCTCCTACGCAGTGAACAGCTGCTTGGCTCCCTCTTGGGGAAAACACTGAAATAAAGAAACCGGTGGTTTGGGGTATTCGAGCACCATTACCTTAAATGCTCCTGATTTTCAGGAATCCTCCCAGACTCTCTGGAAGAGATGACATGCTGGGAAGCCCAAACACATGAAGCAGTCAGTTTTGGCTCTGCATGAAGCAATGCAATTGGCTTTAGAGACCATTTTAACTACACGTTTGCTTCTGTTTGAAACATTCTGCAAATGGGTCCTGGGAGAGGAGCACCCTGGACCATTGTCTTAGTTCAGCTTTATTTAGCTGTGTTCCCCCTGTAGTTTCATTGGCAGAAACACCACCAGGTATGAGACACCTTTTCAGCCTATGGAGAGCAGAGGGTCACCCTGGGAAGCGTCATGGCTACAGATGCTAAAAATACAAGGTGGGAAGGCAGTCAATGCGTTTAAGGGGCAACAGCTATTTCCATTCTACGCATCCATTTGCCCTCCCTCCTGAACACCCTGCCTTCACAGAGGTGTTCACATCTCCTCCTGCATGTGAGCCACCACCCACGCCGCTTTCCTTGCCCAGCCAGCAAGAGTTGCCCCCTCCAGGACACCACTGATGTCCCTGCGAGGGGATGGGGAACTTAACTCTCAGCACCTCTCTCTGCTTGCAGCAAAAAACTCCAGTATCTGCCTGCAAGGGAGCTGTTATTAATATTTCATGGGAGCTGGCAGAAGTGGTGACATCTGTGCAGTAGATCAGAGGGGGCAAGGAGGAGAGGCGTGGAAAGGCACGCTCTCTTCAAGTGCAGCAGAGGATTTAATCCTCAACTTAACAGCCAGGGGCTGAAATTGGTGCCCCCTTCATGCGCGCACACTTTATCCTCTCCCTGCCTTGCCCCCTCCGCACACCGTGGCACCTATGTGACCTGCCGTATTGTGCCACCAACACCGCAGCATTGCAGCAGGGGACCCAGGGTGGCATCTCTGCCTATGACAGTCCACCAGTATTTTCAGCAGAAAGCTGGAGCAGGCTATCATCTAAAGTCACGTTTAATCTGCAAATAACTCTGAATTTACATTTGCAGGAGGATCTGGACGCAGCACCTTTCCATTGCTGCCACTTTACCCAGCCGTGGCGTCAGCAGGACCTGGACCAGGGCCACTCGCTGCGGCCCTGGTGAACTGTCATACGCAAACACCCTCACCCTAGGTCCTCCGCTGCAAAGTTGCAGCGTTTATAGCACTGTTTTAAAAAGTTTTAATTAACAATCAGTGAGAGAGTATTGAAATAATCTTTTTTTTCCAATCGTACTTCTCACTTAGGCATGGCAACTGAAGATCTTCCAGAAATAGGTACAGATAGAGGACACATTTTTCCTCAGGCAGAGTAAGTACATTTTATTAAGCGTGTGATCTTAGATGCTTGAGCAATTTTTTTCAAAATATAGTCTGATGCTATTTTGGTCCCTTCAGTGTTTCAGGTCAGTATTGCAAGCACAGGCTAATTACCACCTGAGGTTACTGATCAAGAAGTCATAACTAATATCTCAACATTTCACCACTTCCTGATTTTATTTCTCTTTCTTCCCTTATGCAAACTACTTAATAGCAAAGGATGCTTTGCAAAGTAGGGTGATTAGAGGAGATTTATGTATAATTATAAAAAACATTTCCAAGTTCTATTTCCACATTCTTTAACATTCCTGAGGGGCATTTTTTGCAAGAAAAAAAAAAAAATCTCTATTTCTATTAACACTTCCTTCCCCTTTATGCTATTAATGCTGTATCTGCCCACCTTCATTAACCTCACAGTTACTGCCAGGACGTCCTCAGAATCGGCGAGTGTGGCAAGGAAAAGCAGCCGGGACCCGAGCTGGACCCTGGTGTGAATCCAGAGAGGACAGCCAGGGCTCGGTTGTGGGAAGGTGGTCAGATGGCAGCAGCGGCACCACCAGAGCTCGGTGGTCCTGACCTCCTCCAGCAGAGCCATGGCCAAGGAGAAACAACAAGGTAGTCTTCCTTGTCACTCCCTGAATAGGGCAGGGGATGCCAGCCATGCTGTCCTGCTACCACTACATGGAGCCAGGTTGGAGACATCCCCACCCCAACGCAGCTCATGGTGGCTATTGGCGGAGCTAGCCCTGGCACCGTGGTGCATCCTCCCATGGGAGCACGGCCGTGCTGGGCTGCTGCTGCTCTCCTCTCTTGGCTCGCCACTGCCAACCCACCCCGACCGAAACCAGTCATGGCTGCAGGGTTTTCACAGCAGAGTGCAGAAAACTCAGCGGAGGGCAGCACACAACCACTTCTCCTCTCTGTGCAGACTTTGCACATCCATCTGAGCTGCAGCACAGGTGAACACCAGCTCTGTAAAAGGTTTCTTAAGGGAACAAGCAGTATCCCAGCCACAGACCACTTCTGCGCACAGTTAACAAAAGATAAGCAGTGTTGGGGAGAGGGAGAGGAAGGGAGATGTGATTCACCTCTCCACAACTTCTTGTCCGTTCCAGCAAAGAGTGTCGTTCTGAACAGCAGAGCTGTGGCTGCAGATGTACTCTGGCAAGCTGCTGTAAAAACTGCTGTGGGACTTCAGCTTCATAATGAGTTCCCTGGAAGAAAGGGGGAAAAAAATGGTGCTCAGTTAAAAGAGGAAAAGAAGATGGAGTTGGTGCATTTTAACCAGTGAAGGTAGTCACACAAATACAACAAGAAAGCAGCTGGGTGCAAACAAACCATGAAGCATTGGTCTTATTTCTGACCTCAAGTAGCATTTTGCATCATCCCCTGATGTTATTCAGTCAAAGGCTGAATCTGTGTTTCTTAGGGCAAAACCACCAGTGACAGGAGGGATGCTGGGGCAGCAGAACCTCAGGCCAACCATGCAGCACGCCAAAGCCAGACACGCTCTCTGCACTCTTACAGCACCTAAGGAAAGGTGCTGCTGGCTCAGGCCGTTCGTACATGGGGTGCATCTGAGCAGCAAGGGCTCAGGCTGCTAGCAGTCCCCTCTGCTTTGCAGAAGGCAATGGAGGCCCTTCAGGAAAGGACAGCCTTGTCACTTTGTCTGCCTGACATTGGCAATCCAACATCCCCTACAAGGGCAGGTGGCATTTTTGGTGGTAGACCAGAGTAGACGCTATCAGTAGAGACCCGTACAGGTGGGTTATGCTGGGTTTCATGCTGCACTGTCAATAATACATGATTTCAAGGCATACGCTGGGCTGGCTGCGGGGTCACAGTCTGCATTTGAAGGGGCAGGTTACACTCAGCAAAATGGCTCTGCCCTGGGAAGGCAGGAGGAGCCTCGGGAGCAGTCCTTGTGCTGGGCAGAGGGGATGCGAACCAGGCTGCATCCCCACCCTGCACCCTCCCTTCCCAGCACCAAGGACCTCTGTCCCCGGCAGGTTCCCTTCAGCAGCGGTCCAGGGGTGCCAGGACACACACTGACCCCAGGGACGCTGACAGCCACCAGAGAGGGGACAGGGGCTGCAGGAGCAGGATGTGCCCATCCCCACAGCCCAGGTTGGCCCCTTCGATGGCACTCAGCAGCTGTCACCAGGAAACACCGGCAGATTTAATTAGCTAAATGGCACAAAGAGCATGGTAGTATTAATAGCAGGGACTGGAGGAAGTAAGACTTGGCCTCATGGTCTCCTGGCTTTGGTTCAGTGCATTTCCCACTTTGGCAAGGGGTTATTTCTTTGCCTCCTTCCTCCCCAGAAGGCATGACAAGGGATCAGCACCTCGAGCTGGGAGCTCTCGCAGTGACATCCCCTTGGTGCCCACAGCGGTGGGACCTTGGTGGCACCTCCGCACCCCACCGGCTCTGGGGAGCTGCCCAGCAGTGCCAGGCTGCCAGGCAGAGCGAGCTTAGGCAGGCTGGGGTGCAGCGGGGTGCCCAGCTCCCTCCATCCCTCTTTGCTTCTCTTTGCTTGGGGATTTCCTGGGTTTCCCTCTCCAGACGAAGCCCGTGACTGCCAGCTGGGGGCAGGCGAAACAAGGAGAAGAAGCCCCAGTGCCAGCGAAGGCAGCCTGAGATGCTCTGCTCTACCTTTTTGCTAACGAGGAGCCTGTTTCTGCCCTGATGGGACTGACACAGCAGAGCCGGCAGCCGATGGAGGCAGAGGGCCACCCAAGTCCTCCCTCGGGTCTCCACAACGCAGCCTGCTGGGGTATCGAAAGCACCAACCCATCCATCACTGTCCATGCCGATAAACAAGAGTTTTCCTGAGGAGTCAAAGCCCCTCTGAAGGGTGGGAGTTCAGCCCACAGCCCCCTGCACAAATTGGAGGGGTGCTTCAGACATTCACCTCCTGCGTGAACCTATGGCAATCTCCTGCACTGGGCTTACTGTGGGGCAGGAGGTCCAACCAACACCATTTTGAAAGCCAAAATGAGGCAAGAGCTGGGTCTTCAGTTACATCAGACCCTGAGCAGGACAAGCCTTACATCGCACCCAGCTCCCTACATCCTAGGCACTGCCTTGCTCCCTGTCCCTTACATGGCACCCAGCTCCTTACATCCTAGGCACTGTCTTGCTCCCTGTCCCACAGACCCCAGCAGCGCTGGGGAGAACGGATGGAAGAAAACTTTCCTGGGGAGCAGCACTCCCCGCTGGGTAGGGAAGGGAGAAACTCCTCCGTATCTGCAGGTATCAGCTCATGTAATCCATCACAGTAGATTTCATTAGACTTCACAGTCCTCAAAGGATATCTCCGGCAGAGCCTGGGCTGTGTAACCCTCCGACGTGTTGAGACAACAGAGGAATGCAAGCCCTGGTGCTATATCTCATGGGAACCGTATCAAGAATGTGGCCCTGTTACTCTTTAAAGAGAAATCCATCCAACTTAGTCTATCCCCAGTTCCAAAAATTGCCAAGCTTGCCTGTTTCTCTTCTGCAGGGATTTTTCTTGTATTCAAGACAGCAGTAAAGGCACCGTACGTGTCTGGGTGTGCTTTCAGATCCAGAGGGGAGATGCTTCTCCCCGACACACCAGCGTGAGCCCACTGAATTACAGCCTCTATTTACAGAGGGAAGGAAGCACAGGGTGCAGTGCCAGCAGCAGAGGCACCTGCTTCACTTTGAAAATATTCAGTAAAAGGCTGTTAACGTTCCTGAACTACTGTAAAAGACGGCACTAAAAACCCTGAAATGAGTCCCCCTTACCTACACACAGTGTTACACGCAACGTTTCGGGCTAGAGTGACCATTTCCACCTATAACTACACCTGTGAGTATTTCTGGCACTATAGCAGTGCCCAAGAAACCCAGACAAGACATTTGGTGTATGAACCTGGGTGCCTGGTGCATTGCAAAAAAGCAGAACAAAGATGAAAAGCAGGAGGCAGTTTTACAAGTTAAAAAAAAATAAATAGATGCACTAGGTGAGAAAACACATGTAGACACCTCTCTGCCAACCACAGAGCAGCTCTGATGTTCAGAGTCAAAGCCAGCTGCAGGTTTATGGGTAAGGGAAATACAGAGCTCTTCCATCCGCTTTCACAGGGCCATCCCATATGGCGACCGCTCCTGCAGCCCATCCCGCAGGCACTGTGCTCAGCCTGAGCATTCTCACCTCCTCCTGCTCGACAAAGTTTCCTCTTGCTCGATGTGAGTCACCTTCAGGACTTTCTTGTCAACAAAAAGGTCTTCGGGGTAATTGGCTGATCGATACTGCCTCTGCTGAGTGTGGCCACATAACCGACTGATCTGGAAAACACAAGCACAGCAGTGTGAGGAAATGTTGGGACCAGAAATACTGCAGGAAAATAGCTGAGATGCACACTGGGCCCTGCACGTGAGCTGGTCGGTCGTCCCGTCATCCCCATCTCTTCCATAGCTCATGCAAGCGCCTGAAAGCAAACTGCTGCCCTAGGGATGCAACCCCGCTCTTGTAGGAACATCCCTTGTGGGAGGGAGGGCAGGAAACTTTGTCAGGCAAGATTTTTGGGCAGCAAAGTGCTCCATGATTGTCAAAACTCCTGAGCTGCAGGCATGACCAGCAGAGCTCCCTGTGCCGAGTTAAACTCATGCTGGTAGGAGGGGACTCGAGATGTTCCCCACTCCTTCACTGCTGAAAGCCACGGCATCTCAGGACACTATGCTCCACCACTCCAGCTGGGCTTTTAGGCAACACCTCCCCTCCAAATGTAAATCCTGAGATGCCAGTTCTGCATCAAGAGGCAGTGCAGCATCCGCCTGGCCTGCGCTGCAGGTGCCCAGGGATGAGCATCATACACATCATTACTAATTAAAAAAAATCAGGGCCTAAAATAAAGCAAGCATTATGGCTACAACCCAGTCATATCATGGGAGGTCTTGATTAACAGGGCTCTGTTAATGACACAAATTAGCTCATTAGCACACAGATGATTCGGTAACCGGCTCCAGCAGCAAGGGAAGGAATCCAAAACGCCTCATTAAAGCTCTCCCACGCAGCCGATGTCCCAAGACAGCCAGCAGCACTACGGCCACCGCTGCAGTCCATGCTGTGGATGGATTTGCAAGCCATCTCCTTCTCTGGGAGATCACCAAGGGACAACTGTTCCCCTGAGGCACCGGTGCTGCTGGGAAACTCGCCTTTTGAACCATCCCGTGCTATTCTGCAGGACTTGTCCATGCTGGGTTGTGAAGGGGCCTTGGACAATTGCTGGGACCATGAAGGCACCGCAGCTAACACCAACCCCTTCTTCCTCGAGCCTCATCCCACCACCTGCAATTCAGGCTCAGGATCAGCCACATACCCATAAAACGCCTGTTCCTCGCAGCCCCTCGTTTATCTTCATGCCACATGAACCAAGGCAGCCAGCTAAACTCCCGAGTTAGGCGCACACCGGAGGCTAAAAGCACACCCGCTGCCCAACAAGCATCTGATGTGTAAAGAGAAGAGATTAATTCTGTTCTATTACATCCTCCATTTGGGTGGGCAAATAAATTAGTAGTATCACCTCTTTCATTATCAAGAGCAGCACAGTTTGTTTGCTTAGGCTGCCATACAACAAAGAGTAAAAGAGAAACCTCCAGAGAGCCGGGCACTGCCATTCCTCCTTCACAGCGTGGTGGGAAGAGATGCTGCCACCGGTCCCTTCTGCACCTGCGGTTGCCTCTGCCGAAGCAGCTCCTCCTGCAGCTGCCAGGGGAGCAGTTTCTGCAGCGTCTTACCCATTTTTTTCTTCCACTGCCCTCCCTTGGCTGTGTTTTCTCTCTGCCTTGCCAAACCCAAATCTTGCAGAAGAATGTAGGAGCTCTACTGCCCTCCCTAAGACATGTGGCAGGCTTAAAAAACAGAGAGAAGAAGGGAGTAATAAAAACAAACGCCATGTTTTGGGCTGTTTTCTTTGCCTTTGGGGTTTTTCTTTATCACCCATTGCTCTCCCATAAAATTCTCAGGTAACTGCCCAATGCAGGCAGCCAGGACTAAAAGGAAACCACAGGGCAGCAAGAAACCTGGACAAGGGTATTTGGGACACCCGAGACCCCACCGCTGCAGAATGGGTTTGCATGTCCCGTGCTCCCTCTGTGCTGGCTGGTGCCAATGTCCCTGCAACAGGCAGGCTGGCAGGAGGGCACGAGGATGCACAGGGGTTTGCAGACCTCACCCCCCAAAGGTGCCCTCCGAGCCCACAGGGAGGCCAGAGATGAGACCTGCCATGAAACCGCCCCGGGGAAACACAAGGGATGCACATACAACAGGACGGAGAGCACAGAACAAGCGACGCCACAAATGCAGCGTCGCTGCACCCACGCTCTGCACGGGCACGTAAAGCGGAGGAGAGAAGCAGGAAAAGGTCAGATATTTTAAGCTGCCGCTTACGATGACTCCCTTTGATTCTCCCCAGCTCTGTGAAAAGCCCCCCCTTCCCTTTCCAAAGCCTGCCTTTCAGCTGGTGAAGCCCATTGAACCCCAAGAGAAGAGCAAGTCCAGGATCAAGGCTTTTTTCCCCAAGGATGCTGAGAAACACTGAATGCGAGGGGAGGGCCCGAGCGACAGCGCAAACAATGGCACTTCAAACAGCAAAGCGGCCGGGCGGACCAGGGCTGCCTCGTCTCCCACCCGGCACCGAAGGTATCGCGGCCCCTCTGCTCCCAGCTCCTGCATGGGAGCTGTGCCTCAGCCACATCCCCGCAGCCCCGCTCGGCATCTGGGTACCATGGGCTCCTGCGAGGGATGGAACCAAACGGGATCACACTAGCCCTGATATGGGACAGCAGATGAAATCTTCACGGATAGAAGGTGGGAAGTCTGAGCAGTGCATTCAAGTTTTTACTTATTTATTTATTCAGGCTCCAGTTAACCTTTTCAGAAAAAAAGAAACCTGCAGCCCATCTTGCAAAGTCATGGTGAAATGATTGTCACATTTTAGTCAAACAAAAATCCGGCTGAGATTTGAACTTTAAATAAAGTGAGAGAATGTAGAAGTAACAGATTGCCTGCTCATTTGCAGGGGCGGCATCGCGTGCATTTTTGGGGGGAGGGAAGGATTTCACAAACCATCTGCCAAAGTCTGCTGGGCCACAAGCGGTCCCAGGACAACAGCTCAGAAATCCTGTTTCAATCTTTCCCCCTTTTTTGAGTCCCCGCTGCAAGCTCAGGAACAGATGAACCCAGTTTCCCAGTCTCTTCCTAATCACCGCTATTTTAAAGCGAGCTTCAAATTTTAAAAAGTCCAGAAAAATGCCACTGTAGGGTAGCTGGAGAAGGGACAACACGAGCCTCAGACCTTGGGGGGAAAAAAGTGAGATGCTTCAGCTCTCCAGGCATTGCTTGCTTTGGCAGGAGCCACAGAGCAAGGGCAGCCAGATCCCCAGCAAGGTGGGATGCCTGCAAAAGTAAGAGAAAAAGGAAGGTGGCATATCTAATCGCATGTGCTAAACTCATATTGAGCGACAGTGGTAATACGTGGTTGCCTCCCGCCACACAACTATAAGTGTGAAATTCAAAGCAAATCGACAGAATGGAACCGCTGGCTCTTCTCCTCGGGCTCTGCATGCTATCGGTGGGATCATAAATATACACAAGTCCTTATCTAAAGTACATTTAGTGCAAGAGCCATACAGTCTCTTATTTCATGTCTCACACACGGTCCCAGAACAGGCGGCAGCTTGAAACATCATGCCACAAAAAATGAATAAATAAATCAAATGGCAGTGTGGTTTTTAGGCAACGGGGGTTGGGGGTTTGTTTGTTTTTAAGAGTCTGCCAGTCCACTGAAAAACTGCCACAAGGGGACACAGGGCAAGCAAAACCTTCCCAAAGCCCTGAACTTTTACAATCCCCCAAAGCCACCCATACTTTAACAGCCGAAGCTAAATTTCCCTGCCCCAGCTCGTTAACAAACTCACTAATTACCCGATTTCATTAGCCTCCTCCATGCGAGCGTGACCCAGGCCACGAGGGGAACTCTTTGCCTCCTGCCGACCGCTGCCCACCGCCCCATTTCTTTACTGCAGCCGCAGGGCGAGCCCATGCCCGCCGGTTGGGCAGAGCTCCTCGGGGACCCCGCGGCTCCTGGGGATCCACCAGCTGCCGACGGTCCCCGTGCCGGACGGAGAAGCAGCTGGCTGCTGATGCCCCCGGGAGCTGCACGTCGTGTAATGGCTCTGCTTTAGAGCGAACATTGATTTGAGAGGAGCACAGGGACAAAGCTAATGGAGTAGCACTATCAGACTGCTTTAACGCTTCCCCATTAATTTAGGGTAAGAGGTGCCGGAGGACTGAAGGGAACCTGTTTGCAGCTGCATGGAAATGATGTACCGTGAGCACCGGGGACCAGATCCGCCACCATGGCTGCTTCCAGCTGGGTCAACTGCAAGAGTGTAGAGCACAACACTGGTCCACGTGGGTGCCCGCAAGCCAACAGAAACTGGGACCACTGGGATAAGGTTGAATTATGTCAAAAAAAGGGTAGTGACCACAGTAGCAGGCTCTGTGCAAAGCATCACAACCTCAGTGCAGCCGATGGAGAGCGAAGCCCCCGCAGGCACCCCCAGCCCGGCCACAGCAGGATGGCATCGCTCACAGTGCCGGGGCCACCAACCGAACCCCGCTCCGCTGCCAGGCACGAGGCAGGGCGGCCGCACGGGGCAAAAGCCTCTCACCTTGCACATCAGCAAGCAAATCCAAGTGGGGAAAGACTGGAAAGACACACATGTGTGATCCTCAGCGCCGTCTGAGCATCACTTTTAAGAGTAAGAGCGTTTTAAAGGTAATTTTCTAGAAGAATTAAAAAAAAAAAAAAAGCTAATCAACTTCCCCTTGGAAGAGAAGAGAGTGTATTAGACACTGCTGAATACCTGCTGCTGCCGCTTCTCATTCAGCCCATGAGCTCCACTCTGCTCCAAAGGAGAGCTTGCTAAATTTGACCTTTGCTTAAACTTTACATGGAGTTTCCATTTGTCTTCTGTGTGAACTCTTCTGCTTATAGATTCGTTCTCCAGGAAGACACAGTATTTTTTTTCTCCTCAAGGGGATGGCCTCATTTTTGAAGATTTCCTCCCGCAATCTTCGCTGCTCCCCGGAGTTCACGTATATCATTTTATACCTATTCCCGAGTTTCCTTTGGGAGAAGCTGCACATTAAGCTGAAAAGCGATTAACTATTATAATTGATTCGAACACGGCCTCTGAAAGGGTGATTTGCTACGGTATGCACAGAAGGGACAACCACAGACCTCAACAGAACGTGCTGCCTTCGGAGGAACCAACTGGTG